GGATCTGCCACCTGTCACTTGGCATTCCAGTATTTTGCTGGGCAAATTGGGCTGGGCAAAGCACAAATTATGCAGAACATGTATGCAATTGATATATGCCTCTGTATGTGTTGAAGATAAAGGCCATATGCTTCTGGTGACATATTCAGTTACTGGCTAGTGGAGTCAAAAGCAGGGCTGGAACCCTGATCCGTTTAAATATGTGTGTATATATTCAGCCTTTTAGTAATATCTTGACGTAGACTTGTTTACTGAAATGGAAATTCTGAAAAGTGCACAATGTTAGTTGCATTTATGTTGACAAAAAATAATATTGAATATATTATAAATATTTGATACACCACCTGGACCTAAGTCATGTTACTGTTTATGTGTCATTTGTATTATTTTTAAACCAAATCTATAACGTTTTTGGAATTTAAATTGTGTAATTTGAAAATAGTTGAGGACCCAAGATATACACCTGAGGAACACCACATAAAAAAAACACCAAGTATAGACTGTTCATTGTTGTCCATTTGTGTTGTCCATGTGTACTTTTTGTGTTTGATGTAAGTGTGGACCGATGCCATGAGAAAACTCATTCTTACTACCCCTAAACCCCCAAATAGCACTTGGGTACCTTCTTTAGAAACACACTATTGCTGTTATCTGCTTGCCTTGCATCCATGCAATTAAAGTTAATGTTTGGTTTAAGGTGGAGGGGAATGGGTAGGAGGACGCTTTATCTTCAAATCACTCTCGTTTTTTTTTTTTTTTCACTCTTTTAGCTGGAGGGGGCCCGGGCTCTCTGCAATTATGGTGCAGCCTTGACACAATGTTATTGTGTTTTTTGAGAGCCCTGTTCAGGGAAGGGAGGACAGATAGAGGAGTGTGCTTCAGTTGGAGAAAGATGGCTCTAACAGCTTTTTATTTAGCTTTCAGAACAATTGCACTTGCACATTTCTTTCTTTCTTTTTTAACGGACAGATTACGGTTTGTATTTGTTTTCTAAAAATGTGTACTGGATGTGGATTTTAATGTTGATTCACTATATATCACTATGATGGTAAAAAAAAAAAAATACTTTTAAAGAAATACAAAGGAAACAAAAGCCTGAATAATATTACACCTTTTTCTGTTTCACTCAGACATACATTATGGAAGTAAATAGTTTGTGAACGCAGTTTCACGTTGACTTTAAAGCTGAATAGGAATCCTGTGCTTCCATTAGCCTTTTATAATCCTTTAATCTGAGGTTACATTTTGCGTTATCAGTGCTGTTTAAGCCACTCCTGCTGCTCATTAGCTCTTTTTCACAAGAAACTAAAGCCCTATAAGGTCCATCTGGTAAAAAAAAAAAATCACACCCAATGACTGGCCAGGGGAGTGCAGAATCTCCAATAGGTCGCTGTGCTTATCTACTTTTTTCCCCTTCCACCGAACAACATCAAACAAACAGTTTTAGTCTGGTTTATCGAAAACCGCATGGTGTCTTTGGCATGCCTTTGAAGAGAGCCCTGCGACTGTGGGATGCTGTAGGTAAAGCCGAGGTTTTCAAGGTCTCCCCGCCCTCCTTTTCCACATCACCTGCGGCAGAGATTCTGCAGGGAGGCTCTATAAAGTGACACTTTCGTCAAATAAATCTAGATCACACAGATGAGATGTTCCCTGCGATTCAACTCATACATCAAAGCTGTCGAGTTGACAGGTTCGAAGAAAGATTGTAGTGTTTTAACTAGCACATATGGCACCCAACAGCTGCCAAATGAGACGTTGCATCTCACAAATATCCCCAGTTGTAGAGGCAAACATGACATCCAGTTCAACCGTCATGACACACTGCTGTCATCTCAGGTGTGGAGATGAGTATTTTGAGGGTAAACACTGAGCTTCTCGCTTGAGGTGTTTCAAACAGCCCTGAAACCTGAACCCTGATCATTATCGCTCATAAAGAGAGCATCAGTGTTTCACCTCAGGGCTGGCCGTCTCACAAAACAGCTCAACGTGCTTAAGATATCTTCTAATGACAGACTTCTCAGATTGTGCCGCTACTTAATCCAGTCTTTAGGTGTCACTGGGACATCTGAGGAATTTAAAGCATCTGGAAAATGGAGACTGGAGGTGGAAATGGAGGGAAAGTGTGGAAACTGTATTGTGTTTTGTGGACGAGGTTCAAAGGCCATCATGACGTCTCAAAGCCACTGAAGAATTGTCTGGAATAATTAGACTTTTTTTTGTGTAACTTCAGCTCTAAAAGGTTATTTTATTTTTATTTTTAATATTTTAGTTTTGTTTTTGTGTTTTATTTGCCTTGCTTGGTTTTTGTTTTGTGGTTTGCTTTGCTTTGCTTTGTGTTTTTCTATTTCTCTTCTTTTTTTTTTTTTTGCTTTGCTTGGTTTTTGGTTTGAGCTTTGCTTGGTTTTGCATTGCTTTTTTCTTTCCGTATTGTTTTTCATGTTTTTCTTTACAGATTTTAAGAGATGTAATATTAATAAAAAACATTTTTCTTATTTTCTAATTTTCAAACGCATGCAACACTGTCGTCGCGTTAGACATTAAACAACATTAAACACTTTGATGGGGCCATATGTCTTTCTATTTAATTCAAAACATGCAAGGGAACCAGCAGTGAATTAGTTTCCAAAGGAACATTGCAAAATGAAGAAATGTCATCCGTAAGTCAGCTGTTCCAGACTGACTCACAAAGATGATTGTGTTTCTTGCTCTTATATAAAGGCAACAGTTACATAACACACATTTTATCTTCTAGGAGCCGTTCAGGTTCCTTTGTGACACAACAAGCTTATCAATTGTTGCTTCTGACTGGAAGGGCTTCAGCTGTCTTTTTTCAGCACATATTCTCAGTGATGTGAGGATGGCCTTATCACTTTCTCAGGGTTTATCAGGTCCTGTGTGACAAGATGTGGTCTTATCTCAAAGGCACCTTCCATTCTGGAGCATTTGCTTCCTGATACGCCAAGATCAGACAAAACCAGATATCCTTGTGAATGTTTAATGAGATTCTGAAATACTTTTAAAGTATGAAAAACATCCAAAGTGTTAAGTTACTCTGAAAGGAATATGGATCATATGTAGGAATGTGGATCATCTCCTAGTCTGTGCTCATAGCAAGTGGTGCCGCCCACTGACCATGTGCACATACACATCATTTTCAGATTATGGCCTTTATTCCCAAAATAGGTGTCAGTGTGACCCATATACTGGAGTATACCTTTATGCATAACAATCATCATGTTTCAGATAAATTAAAGATATGGAGTACTTTAGTAATCCAGCACAGTAAAATAATCTACTGTTTAATTCATCATCATTCCGGAGAGCGATGAAATTCAAAATGTAGGCCAGTAAGGCCACAGTGCTTTATTTTAATGTATGCAAAAACATAATCTGTCCTCTCTTCAAGAATGTCTCGCTTCCATTGCTTAGCTTTTGAAAACTCAATAACACCCAGAATTATTTTCATTTGGATGTGCACAGATATAAATGAGTATTGCAGTTACAGTAGATTATGTGGAAAAAATGGTGTTTACATTACAAAGGATTCAAATGAATACAGGCATATGCCAGATGTCGTACTCTGAAACTGAAATATTGGCTTTATCGGGTTAATGTGTTTACATGATGCATACATAATCAGAATATGACCAAATTCTGATTAACATAAGAATATTCATGTGCATGTAAACATGGTCATTGAGATGTATCAGTGTGAGAACACCATGCCTGAATCAAACTCTGTCTTATTAATAACCTGCTTATTCACATTATTATTATTTTTTCCCTGAAGGCCACTTATAAGGGTAGTTAACATGGCTTGATATTAACTTTCTTTTTACTCACCAGACACTCAGACACTCAACTTTTCCAAAGTTACTCAGCATTTTCACTGGCCACAATTTTGACATCGATACCATGGGGGAAAACTGCCATAGAAATTTTTAATATTATCTCATAATTTGCCAGCAGGTTTATTAGGCTGTCGTCACTTTAAGACCTTATTTAGTGTGTATTCGACTGTTTAAGTGCAATAAGCAGCGAAAATCTGAAGGAAGGAGTAAAATAATGTGCAATATGTGCTAACGTGCAATCCCGCGCCGAAATTCAAGCCCTGTGTAACACCAACAATATTCATCCGGAGCAAAAATGAAACGAGTGAGTGAGGGGAGGCGGGTTTGTGTGTAACTCGCTGTCGGGGAGATGGAGAGAGTAAGAAAGCACAGCGGGTATCGTGTATCTATTATGTGGGGTATTGAAAGCATTTAAGATATTTCAGGATCGATATGTATCGAAAATTACACAAACACTTAGTTGCTGTTAGCTTATTATTTCAAATGCCTACAGAGTACAATTGAAAAATTTCAATTATTCATAAAATTCAACCCGCCAAAGTGACTAGCACGAGTGAACGCGTTACACGCCACTGCTGAAATACACGCATTTGGCGGGTGTTAATGTCAAGCCCTGGTAGTTAATATTAATCTCAACAAAACCAGGCATGATTTATATTTCATGAGCATTTTCCATCCTCTATTTGAATTATCCTGTCTGTTTTTCACACTGCACCTTTAAGACCTCTATGTAAATGACCTCTGTTATGATTGGCTGACATGCGTGTAGTGGCGTAGTTCACATGGCAGGCAGAGCTGTTGAATACTAAATAGTTAAATACTAAATACCTAATGATATGTGAACGTGCACAGTTTCGGTAATGTTTACACGATTGTGATAGTTGTCATTATCATAATGATTTCTGAATGACCTGTTTTTGCACTTTAGTTTTCATAAATAGTCTAGATGGACTGGTGAGGGTTGTGTTAGAGTGGACTACATTAATATTTCTTCTAAAAGAGCAAGAAAAAAACATGTTTTCCAAGATAGGTTTCTCTTAAGCAATTAATAATTCATTTAACTGCTTTGCATACGACATTAATAATTTGTCATGACCTAATTATGACCTGGATCAGTACAGTGATGGTATTTTTTATGTTTTTTTGCAGTTGGGATGAAAGCAGCTCCATCAGCAGCGGTTTGAGTGACGGCTCAGACAACCTCAGCTCAGAGGAGTTCAACGCAGGCTCCTCCCTCAACTCCCTGCCAACTACTCCCATTGGCTCCCGCCGAAACTCTGCCATTGTGGTAATTCACTTCTTATTGGATTGAAATATCGCTCTCACAGTCTGCTTTTCTGCTTCAATGTTTGTCAGTTTTGGCTAATTTCTGACACACGATACTGGATCAGTCGAGGCTGAGCACACAGTACTTACTGCTAATGGGATGAATGTGTTACACACCGCTAACCGCTTTAGAGGGAGAGAGTGCACACTGACTCAGTCAATACTCATCTGAAATCTTTTGCTACATAGCACAGACAACACAGTTTATCCCACCCAAAGACACTGATGCGACTCTTCTCTGGCCAAGAAGTCTTCGGGGAGTTTCTGGTTTCGTTCTCAATGATGAACTCCCATGTAGTGTTATGCACTCAATCCTCTGTGTGTGTTTGTGTTGGTTACGATTTGTTGAAGACCACACTGCTTACTGCTGGTTTAGTTTCAGCCATTCAGGCTACCTAAAATCACTGTTTCTTGGCGCTTTGAGAAGATTTTGACCACATTATACTGTTCTGATGGGCACTACTGTTACTGTTTTCATTCTAAATGTCATTACGTTGGTCAGATCAGACAACACATTTAAAAGAATAGTTCACACAAAAAAGAAAAACTGTATTCATCTATATGTCGATTCAAACGTGAATATTGTTTCCTTCTAAGGGAGTTATGAGAAGCTATGAGGTACAGTCAAAGACTATAGAATGACACAAAACGAGCATTAGCTTGAGCCAGCTTAAAAAATGTCGTTTTCTATCACGATTGAAGCGTTTAGAAACAAAATTTATGAGACTGTTGTCAGATTTCATTGGTGATTTCAAATTTGAAATTTAATCGTAAGCTTGGCGAACAGTTTTGGGGAATCTTATGTTTCCGCATTCAAAAAGTTGTTTCAAAGATGGCCGCCTTGTGAAATTACTTGTCTTAAAGGGATACTCCACCCAAAAATGAAAATTCTGTCATCATTTACTCACCCTCAAGTTGTTGCAAACCTGTATGAGTTTCTTTCTTCTGCTAAACACAAAGGAAGATATTTTGAAGAACGGTTGGAACCAAACAGTTGTTACCATGGAAGTCAATGGTGCCAAAGTTCCAATCGTTCTTCAAAATATCTTCCTTTGTGTTCAGCAGAAGAAAGAAACTCATACAGGGTTGCAACAACTTGAGGGTGAGTAAATGGGTGGAGTGGGTTGGGTGGAGTATCCCTTCAAAGGGACTTTGCTACAGTACATGTAGATCCTAAAATATAGCTAAATATATATTATACCTTTAAAAATGTTGGGTATGTAAGTCTCTTCTCACCAAAGCTGCATTTATTTGATCATAAAATACAGTAAAAACAGTAATATTGTGAAATATTAATACAATTTAAAATAACTGTTCTCTATTGTAATATATTTTAAAATGTCATTTATTCCTGTGATCAAAGCACAATTTTCAGCATCATTTTTTCCACACGATTTTTCAGAAATCGTTCTAAAATGCTGATTTGCTGCTCAAAAAAATAATAATTATTATAATCAATGTTGAAAACAGTGCTGCATAATATTTGTGTGGCAACTGTGAAACATTTTTTTCAAGATTTTTTGATGAATTGGAAGTTTAAAAGAACATAACCGCATTTATTTGATCAATTGAATGCATCATTTCTGAATACAAGTATTCATTTCTTAAAACAACAACAACCCTGACCTCAAACTTTTGAACTGTAATATATTTCCTAGAGTTTCCGGAAAACATGTGTGAAAATTTGAGGTCAGCTTGGACCGTACAGCTGAAAGCAGAACTTTTAAGACAAAAAGACATAATGAATCAAAATTCTTTTTACATAAAGAAACTATCTTCTATACTATATATTTGCTGGACCCTTTCAACATCTTCTCCATCAAACAGATCTCAGTGTTCTTCTAAACCCCCCTCAGACTCACAGCGTCGCGCTCCTCTTCAGTTTATTGTACGAACAGTGCTCGGCTTCTTTCTTGATCTGACCCACACGGCTGCCTTTGCCAGAAGAAGGAAATGACATGTCAACATCACAGTTATACAAACATTGAAGTTTAGACAGGTTTAATTGGTCAAGTATGCGAGCTTGCCCGTAGCCCATAATTCCTAAGAAGGGAGCAGACATTCCTCAAATGACATCAACCTTTCGCAAAGGCTTATTTACATTTAATAAAGCAGGTATGCCCCTCCACTGGGCTTCTCCTTAAGCCGGACATGCTCCATTAAACCTGGGAACATGGTCAGACTCACTCCTCTCACTTTAAATTACAAATCAATTTCACAAAGTTGAGGAGTTAAGTCTTGTTAAATTTCTTCATGGTTTTATTACATTATCGTTTGGCAGATAATACAACAGTCTTAAAGGTTGTAAAGCTTTCATAAATCTCATTGCTATAATGTAATATAATATATATCTCCATTCCCCAATATAAAACATCTAAAAACAATGTAAAATCTAGATTTTTCTTGGCAACACTTTATGATCATTTTAAACCGAAATATTCAACATTTTCACATTATATAATGCGTAATATCACACAACTTTGCATACTGCATTCAAAAGTTTGGGTTCAGTATTTTTAAAAAAAAAGAAATTAATACTTTTATTCAGCAAGGACGCATACAATTAATCAAAAGTGACAGTAAATACATTTATAATGTCAAATTTCTATTCATCAAAGAATCCTGAAAAGTTTCCAGAAAAAAAATATGAAGCAGCACAACTGTTTACATTGACAACATTAATAGGAAATGTTTCTTGAGCATCGGATCATCATATTAGAGTGATTTCTGAAGGATCATGTGACACTGAAGACTGGAGTAATGATGCTGAAATTCAGCTTTGATCACAGGAATAAATTACATTTTAAAATATATTACAATAGAAAACAGTTATTTAAATCTGTAATAATATTTCACAATATTACTGTATTTTTAGTTTATTGTTGATGCAATAAATGCAGCCTTGGTGAGATATCTTCTAAAAAAAAAAGATTAATAAATTCCTACCAAACCCAAACTTTTGAAGAGTACTTGAATTTACTGTAGCCTTTACTTCTACCCTGTTGGTTTCACTTCTGCACTGCCTGACTAAAACATACTGAACAATAATAGTATAAAATATAAATATCCACATTTATTTTCCCGTTCACTGGGGTATTGCTGATTGAAAACCCTGGAAATCTGATCATTTACTGCAAATCGAGTTTAAAATGAAAAGTTACAAATGTATGTGCTGATGTAACGCTCACACCTTTAAGTAAACCCATGACAACGAGAAGCAGAAAGATAGAGCCACAAGTAAACACACTGCTGTGCTGTGGAGAAGAAACACTGCTCTGATGCTCTGATGTGTGTCAGCGTGTGTTACTTCTCTTCTTCTCCGCGGCTCGTGTTGGAATGTGACCATTGTGCATCTCATAAAGCAGGAACAGAACTTCCATGTTTGGTGTTTTGAACTGACATTAAAATACTGTTTCTTCCCCCCTCGTCGTGTGCTGCTTTTAGAGTCCTATATATGTTAAACTACTTTTTTTGACAAACAAACACACAAAATAAAAAAAAAAAATGAAGTTAAGAAATTATAAATATATATTTTTTAAATATGTTCCTTAAGGATCACATATAAAGTTTTTTGTTTTCTCGCAAAAAACAACAACAAATATGGTAACACTTTACAATAAGGTTCATTGTGTTTAGTTAACATGTGTTTATACTTCTTCAGCATTCATTAATCTTACTTAATACTAATTTCAACATTTACTCATAATGTTATTAAAATCAAAGGTTGTATTTGTTAACATTAGTTAATGCACTGTGAACTAACATGAACAAACAATGAACAGCTGGATTTTTTATTTACGTTTTAAGTTATGAAACTTTTAGGATGTTTTAATGGTGCAATATAATAACGGACCTCTTATTTTTTTCTTGACCAAAAGATCAAGGCAAATTTCTGTCATGAACCTTTTAAAAATGTATTTTAGCTTTATTTATATAATAAAACAGAATTATCAGATAGGGAAGAAATTATGACCTGCTGTGGGAGTTTCAAAGTAGTCCAGAAATGTAATATTGCAAGTTGCTGTTCACACAGAATGCGCTTTTCCATTCCACTGTGCCACTGTTTCATTGCTTTTCAATTAAACGCGCTAGACGGACATCTTTAACCACTACACTTGTGTCTTTTACAGTATCTTTCGCATGATTTTGCGATTTTTTTTCATTCTGCTGAACTGCATCTTTACAGCAAAACATGTGTTCTGTGTGAACCAGCCCTAACTTTAGCACTTTAGTGTGTTTTTAAAATATATTTTTAAATTGAAATATTTTTTATTTCAACATTGACTCTTCCCACAGCTGCGCACTGATGCCGAGAAACGCTCGCTGGTTGAAAGCGGCCTGTCCTGGTACAGCGAGGAGGGGAAGGCTCAATGCCGGAACGAGGGAGTATACGAAACGGGCAGCCTTAAGGCCGAGTCATCCAGCAAGTGGAAAAAGAGCAGGTCGCAGGATGACGCAGCAGTCAAGGGTGAACTGAGGAAACCCCAGACGCTTGGCCACCCGCCCAGCGGACTGAAGAAGAGCCGAAACCCTCCTGTGGGAGTCACCTCACCCATCACGCACACCTCGCAGAGCATGCTCAAAGTGCCAGGAGGTTAGTGATATCACACACTGATGTCTGCACACTCTAAAACACGCAACATGTGTCAACAGTTTACCGTCAGTCCTGATGTTCCAGCCGCTAAATCTTCCCAAACACAGCCATAGGTTAACTAGTGAACAAGCAGGTCACATATTGCTATCAAATGATTGCTTTTATGTCTCTTGGTATCGGATAGGGATGCATATATCTCACTAGCTTTTTTTAATTTAATATTTAAAAA